TCGTAAATCTTTTTTTCCTTTTTTTTTTTTTGTGAAAAAAAAAAAAAAATCTTAGATTAGGCCATATCTTCCCAGTGCTAATTACGAGTTGTGTGGTAGTATGCCAATCAAATGCAGCTTCTGTAGTGATGCAAGTTATATTAAACAGATTCAGTCAGAATTATTAGCCCCCCTTTGAATTGTTTTTCTTTTTTAAATTACTTCCCAAATGATGTTTAACAGAGCAGAGAAATGTTCACAGTATGTCTGATATTTTTTCTACAGGAGAAAGTCTTAATTGATTTATTTCAGCTAGAGTAAAAGCAGTTTTAAATTTTTTGAAACCCATTAAGGACAATATTATTAGCCCCTTTAAGCAATATATATATTTTTCAATAGTCTACACAACAAACCATCGTTATACAATGACTTGCCTGATTACTCTAACCTGCCTGATTAACCTAATTAACCTAGTTAAGCCTTTAAATGCCACTTTAAGCTGTATAGAAGTGTCTTGAAAAATGTCTAGTAAAATATTATTTACTGTCATCATGGCAAAGATAAAATAAATCAGTTATTAGAGATGAGTTATTAAAACTATTATGCTTAGAAATGTGTGGAAGAAATCTGCTCTCCATTAAACAGAAATTGGAGTAAAAATAAACAGGGGGCTAATAAATCAGGGGGGCTAAAAATTCTCACTTCAACTGTAGGTCATCCGAGTATTTCATGCTTAAAGAAAATGAGTATACTATGCACAGCACACATACTGGATACTGCAGAAATAGTAAGAGTAGTGTGACAGAATAGCATTTCAAAACCAGCCACAGTGTCTTAAACATGCAGCACTCACATGAGGCACTGCCAATGGTGCAAGACACCAACGCAAGTCTCACACATCTGTAAAGAATAGCCCCCTTATTATAAGAAGAAGCCAACTTTCACCATATCATATTAATGTGTTCTTTTTTTCTTAACAAATATAAGCAATAACCAAATGCTGACTTAAGCGTACATGTGGGTTCTGTCTGCATAATAACTGGACACTGATTGGCTGTTTTACCTCACCAGGTGGATACCCAGCTGGCCTGTATGATGAGCGAGAGCAGCGTCGACTACATCGCCCGCTTCAATGACCTCGCGCAGGAACTGTCCGTCACAGAGACGACCCTCCCACCTCCTCATGGAGACTGATGCATGAGGTGGAGCCCATCACTGCCTCGCCTCTTTCATATTGGACCGAAGAATGTTAACCAGAGTGCGACAGAGCTGTAGGAAGTGCAATAGACTGGCAGGGTCCACGACAGCCTTTGGGCTCTAATGTGTGTGTGTGTGTGTGTGTGTGTGTGTGTGTGTGTGTGTGTGTGTGTGTGTGTGTGTGTGTGTGTGTGTGTGTGTTGATCATTCTGTGGCTGTTGTCTTATGAGTCACACCCAGGACACTTAAACAACAACAAAATCTCCAGTTTACAGCGCGACCTCATGTATAGAAAACATAAGACCTGCCATATTGTCTGTATATCCGTCTTTTCTTGTCTTTGTCTTTTGTTTGCATGCGTGTGCATGCATCTGTAAGTGGAGCCGCGGATTGTACGCGTGTTTTGTCTTTGTGACTTTCAATTGTACAAAACACATTTTTGAAAAACCCTCTAAAGCCATAGGAGATTGTGTGGACACACTCCGTGTATGAGACGCGCTTTACTCTGACCTCACAATCTGGTTGGGTTATTTTTACCTGAATGTTTGAGTTGGTGAAAGCCACACTACTAAAAGGGACAAGGGCTCCTTTTCGTGCGATTATTATCATTACAGGGACTGAATATCTAACAAACTCTAAACACAATGACTGATAACACAAATGCAGTGTAGTTGCATCAAAGGTAGGGTTGAACTTGTTACCTTAAATTTATTACGCTATTGTTCCCACGACACTAGGATTTTTGTTTCCTGCCGAATGAATATGAAGCCAATAAGTGGTAGATTCTGAAACTAAGTTTTCCAGACTTTAAGCGTGTGTGTGTGTACATAATTGTGAGTGTTTGCACAGATGTAAATATACAATAACAGAACCCAGTATTTACTGCTTTTGTAACATATTGTAAATGATTGTCATTTGAATTATTTATTGATAACTCAATGAGGCAGTGTTTTTTTGTTTGTTTAACAAGCCACATGCAGGCATTTAGGAGCTAAACTCCTGTTTTAAAGAGTTCTGTGTTGTTAAAAGAGGGGTTTGACCCTGATGTGTATAAATAGAGCTACAACAACTCCACCTTGCGTCTGGTCAGTTTTCATTTACTATCACTGAGATACTATTGAAGTTATTAATAATTTGCATTCACTTTTATTTGACATATTTGTCTGTTAAATCATTTTTTTCAACTTGGTTTTTTGGGTTTAATTTTTTTAGTTCATCTTATTGAAAGCATAAAATTCCATTACAAATATTTTCAAGTAACTGTTTTTTTTTTTTAGCTTGAAAAGGGTTAAAATATGTGCCCTCTCTTAATTTTTAATATCTTAATTTTGACTTATTTCTTCTAAAAGTGAAAACAAAATAATACTTTTACTTGCTCTACAAATTTTTTAACATTTGGACTAGAAATGAGACGAAGCAAAGCAAGAAACATTATCGCAATATCACATTTTTCCAATATTGCGCAGCTCTAATATATATAAAGTAGGGCTTAACAATATATCATTTAAGCATCAATATTGCAATGTGTACCACAATGTGCATGAGGCCGTATAAGATTCTGACAGTATGATAACCTTGAATAAAAATAACAGTTTTATGCTATTGTGATTACTGCTGTAAAATTTATAAAACTATAAATTATATATATATATATAAAAGATTTCATTTTGAGAAACATGTTTTGAGTGAACATGTCTGGCTAAATAATTCAAATGAATCATTGACATCTGCTGTCTTCATTAGGCTCAAAACACAGATTCCATTACAATTTAAAATGGCATCTTGGATATCCTTTTCTGCTGGAGATACCGTTGTTTTAAAAACTTAAAAAAAAAAAAAAAAAAAAAAAAAAAACTCATATCGTAGGAACAGTACTGCAGAAGATTTTGGTGGTTTTAAAACCTTGACTTTTTCAAACCGCAGTATACCTTGAAAACGGTTATCATCCCATGCCTAGTCTACAATAGTCACATTGCAAGATATGCAATGTCGAGTCATTATTATAGTTGAGCAGGAGCTACAGACTTGCATAAGACTGAATTACTTTATACAGAATTTATGCATAAAAATGTTTTTGTCATTTAAAATTAGTCTCGTTTCTAGTCCAAATATCGACATTTCGACAAACAGAAAACAAGATTATTTTATGTACCGCATTGGCAGTCAATTTGTTTGTTTTAAGGAAAAACTCTTAATTTTGGCTTATTTCTAAAACAATACTTTTACTTGCTCTACAAATTATTTGGATAGTTGGACTAAAAACGAGACATTTTCACAAGAAACATTTTCGCAATATCACATTTTTCCAATATTGCGCAGCTCTAATATATATGAAGTAGGGCTCTACAATATATCATTTCAGCATCGAAATCACAATGCGTGCGTCCACAATGGGCATAAGCCGGTATAAGATTCTGACAGTATGAGAACCTTGGATAAAAATCTCACGTTATGTAAAAAATATGTTTTATGGAATTGTGATTACTGCTCTAAAATATATTATTTTTAAATGTCTGGTTAAAAAAAACAACAACCTTTGAACACAAAAGATTTCATTTTGAGAACATTTTGAGAAACTTTTCTAATATTTTGGAACAGTAAACATGTCAGGCTGAATAATTCAAATGAATCATTGACTTCTGCTGTCTTCATTAGGTTCAAAAACACAGATTTTATTACAATTTAAAATGGCATCCTGGATATACATGTATGGACGTATATCGTAGGAACAGTACTGCAGAAGATTTTGGCGGTTTTAAAACCTTGACTTTTTCAAACCTTGTATACCTTGAAAACGGTTATCATCCCATGCTTAGTCTACATGATATGCAATGTCGAGTCATTATTATAGTTGACCAGGAGCTACAGAATTGCATTTAATTACTTTATTTATACGGAATTAATGTACAAAAATGTTTTTGTTATTTAAAATTAGTCTCGTTTCTAGTCCAAATATCAAAATTTCGACAAACTGAAAACAAGATTATTTTACGTACCGCATTGGAAGTCAATTTGTTTTTGTTTTTTGAGGAAAACTTTTAAATTTTGACTAATTTCTTCTGAAGGTGAAAACAAAAACTATATTTTTACTTGCTCTACAAATCTTTTGATATTTGGACTACAAAGTAAAAAGCAAGAAACATTTTCGCAATATCACATCACAATATTGTGCAGCCCTAATATATATGAAATAGGGATTGCAATGTGTGCATCGACAACAGTCACATAGCAGAGTCGGGATTATGTATGACCAGAAACCACAGGTCATAAACACATGAGATTTGTGAAGTCACTGCAGGATTGAACCATAATAGAGTGAAGGTTTATTATCTGCATGTGTTGTTAGAGCCTGTGCCTATATGAGCATTTTAATGTTATTGAATTATTTATATGATGAAGAAGACTAGCAGTGTTATTTTAATAATTCTAATTCACTACTACACTTGATTTTGGTTTTATTGTAAGAAAACAAAACAAAAAAACTATAAGAAAACATGTTAAATGAGAATCTCAAATACTTGATGGCATACTTCAATAAATAAAGATTATTTAGTATTCAAAAATGTTTTATTTGAGTTATTTTTGGAAATAAATTGGTCTCACGCTTAATATTTTTCAGACTTTTCATAGCAAATGTTTTAATTCCGGTACTTTTACCATAAACCGACATATCAACCATTTGGTTGATATTTTAGAAATTATGGGATGTGTTTGACAAAATTGCATTGAGTGTGTTAACTAGTGACATTAGAAGTTAAATGCAATCCAAACATTTTAAAGGGTTAATGTGCTTACTCTTTAGATGCTGTAGAGGGCATGATAACTCTTCCCCTTCATAATCCAATTGGACAGCTGAAATCACGTGGCGCTGTTGAGTTCCGGATTCTAACTTGCATGCGATCATATGGGTCAAAGCTTAAGGTAGGTAATGCCTCTTATTCCTGTCTGTTTATTTCATATATTTGCAAAACAGTGCAAGCAGACACAATGGCATTTACAGCTTGATTATTAGCCATAATGAGACATTAGAAACAGGGAGTGATGTTATGGGAAAAGGATGCAGGCTATATTGAAACGTCTTGCTATTCAGGACAACTGCTTTCAATTAGTTACTGTACATAAATCAGAATTAGGGTATTTAACCAGTAATTTCCCTTATGTGTTAATTTAATGTTACTTGTCGTTATATTAGTTGATATTTATTTGTATATTTAGCTTTTGTGTTATTTTTAAAGGTTTTATAGTGAATCGGTCATTCATACATTGATTTACTCACAATCTTATTTACAAAGTGTTATATTCAGCTTTATTTTTATTACAGTTTTAGTCAGTTTATTACTTAGATTTTAACTCGTGATGCCAAACATTAGAGTCATGATGTGGATTTATTTTGACGCGTTTAAGTTACCTGGTTGTTGCTAGATCAGATACGGGTTGAGGTCAGAAGTTAGCAAGAATTATTCATTAAATTTCCCGTTTATTGTATTTTATTAACGTCTAACAATAACACAAACGTCACAGCAATGTAAAACAGTAGTTGTACCAAGTATTATGCATGTTATTTATTAAATTACGGAATACATTGTATTTTATTAACTATATTGATGTGCGTATGCGCAGCTGTATCCTATCTAGACTTTACCGTGTTTACTTCGTTTGACATCACTCGTTTTGACCATTGATATCTGCAATAATTCGCTTTATGGGTGGCTTTTACGACTGGTGATCAAATTGTTTAAAATGATTACAGATATGATTGATAAAATATTATCCACACAACCACCATATAGAAACCGTCGTTTAAGTTACATAGAAAGCATAAATAAATGTCTTACCTGCAGTTTATGAGGCAGGTGCTGTCAAAATTCAGTTCACTTCATATTTCAGCAAAGGTTTCTTCAATCTGCAGACAAATGCTCCAAACATGCAATCTTATGGGACGCCATTAAAAATAACGTTATCCACCTTCTGACGTAGGAATTCTTGTAAAGCTTGTGCAGGTAACGTTAACTTATTCATAAACAAACGAGCTGTTCAAAAGGTCATTTGCTGTTCAATTGTCCGGTTTTAGTCCAACTCAAGCCAATGAGAGCATGTTATAAAACTTAACGTGTATCCAGTGTATTTACCATTATTAAAGCATTTGTTTTTGCTTTTGACGGCGCTTGTTTCTGGCGTGAACACAACAGAACAGGTGTTGGCCGTTAAATTGATCGCCGGTGGGCGGGGCTTATGATCCGGTTCTCTATAACTATTGATCCATAGTTTTTCGTTGTATACAAAATAGTGTCATATTTAAATATATCTGCATACTGTTCACACAACAAATGAGCTGAATAAATTAATGTTTAACAAAAAATGTGAATGATGCAAAGTAATATTCAGTTTTTCTTATAATAATGAGAATGTTTTAGGTTATGACTTGGGCCAGACCGAATCTGTGGGCATTTTTTGCTATTTCTGCTGAGAATTTTATTTAAAAAATCAGCGAATTTATGCATGCAGATTTATTTTGGGAGCATCATAACTAAAAACGTAATATATGAAATAAAAAATAATAGCTTTTTAACTTTTATTCATCGTTTACAATGCAAAATATTACTTTACAAACTGCATTGTATACAAATCAAATGAATGTTTTCATATTAGTCGGTATTATTACTGAAATTAATTTAAAACTGATTCAATATACATTTCGTCAGGAAATTTGAAAAAAGGAGACTTATATCACCCCAATGTGACTGTGGACACACTATAGCCTGGTTTATACTTCTGCGTCAAGTTAGCGGCGTGACCCACGGCGCATGCAACACGCATAGCCATGCATTCATACTTCTGCGCACTGTTTGTGTTGTTCTGCAATAACACTTCCGAAACGCTAGTTGGCAGTGAGGTGTATGCCCCATTCACACGGGGCTTTAGCGGCAACGCTTGACAGAGAGCGTTTCTGAAGTTGGAGCTGGCGCGATCATCATCGCAGCGTCAGCCAATGAAATTGGTCAGCAATAGACCACTGTCTGAGCTGCTGTATTTGCATACAGCGATCTGATTGGCTGACGTTTCTGGTGGCGCTTGAAAAGTTGACCAAGTCCCAACTTCTTCTAGACTTTACCCTCTGAAGCGGCGCCGACGGATCCACAATGCAGTTCGGCAACACCTGACGTTACCCATTCAAAGTGACGCCCCGAGTAAATGGGACGTTAATGTTCCTCTGTGTCGAGTTTCTTCGCTGGTGTTTTGTTTTTTCTGAACACTTCCTTAATGTACAAGTGGCTCAAACTCGCTCATTTTAAGGCAGGAACCAGCGGACATGCAACATTTTTAACCATGAGGTAAACACAAAACAAAACTTTCCATCCGGAGCTCCTTCACACCACTCCACACTTGTAAACAATCGCTCCATCGAGCTCGTGCGGCTCTCGGTCCTGCTCACACTCATCAGCGCTACCAAACTGACCAATCACAGAGCTTGCGCTAGGCATCGTTGCGACGTTTAGTCAAATTGTTTGTGAGGTGCGCGTCAGCGACGGCTACTGCGAAGGCTATGCGTCCATGCATAGGCAGCTCCGTATCATAGGAGTGTCCTTGATGCAGAAGTATAAATCAGCCTTAAACCTACACACAGCTCTGTCCAAACAGCTTACAAAAGATGATTTTCATCATAGGTGCCCTTTAACACCTTTTTTGTAATACACAATTGTAAATTTAATTCATATTAAAATGTTCTGCAGGGAGAATTTATTTGTTTATTCACTTCACTAGTTCATACTAAAAGGTCCAGAAGTTAAAACCTTAATAACATGGAGAATTGTTTTAAATTATCTTGCTATATTTACCAAATATTGAATATTGTTTACGTTTCTGTCTCCCATGTAAACAATATGCTTATTTACCTCAAGGTCAGTGGTTTTCAAACAGATTGCCACAACATTACCCTTAAATAATAAAACTGGTTTGAGATATGTTTTTATAGTTGGTTATACGTCTATATCTCTGCATCTGTCCACAGACATATGGAGCGTGCGCTAGGTGTAGGCATTGGGCCGCTGGCTGCTGGGACTGTCGGTCTGCTGATTTTGCTGAAGGTGATCCAGAGATTGAGACGCAGGCCCAACATCCAGGATAAAGTGGTGGTGATCACCGGTGCCAGCTCAGGGCTGGGCAAAGGTCACATACCCATAAACACATTCATAATGCTGATTAGGGCTGAACAATATTTTGTTTGAGCATCGATATCGCAATGTGTGTATCTGCAATAGCCACCTCGCAGGATTAGATTATTTATTAAAAGATGAAGATATTATTAAATATGACCATAAGGGGGCGCCACAGTGGCTCAGTGGTCAGCACTGTCACCTCACAGCAAGAAGGTCGCTGGTTCGAGTCTTGGCTGGAGCAGTTTGAGTTTGCATGTTTTCCCCATGTTCACGTGGGTTTCCTCTGGGCGCTCCGGTTTCCCCCACAGTCCAAAGACATTTGCTACAGGTGAATTGAATAAGCTAAATCGGCCATAGTGTATGTGTGTGAATGTCAGAGTGTATGAGTGTTTCCTAGTACTGGGTTGCAGTTGGAAGGACATCTTCTGCATAAAACATATGCTGGATAAGTTGGCGGTTCATTTCGCTGTGGTGACCCCTGATTAATAAAGGGACTAAGATGAAGGAAAATTAATTATTAAATAAACGATGACCATTATATTTTACATTTGATTGCTACATTTCTGTAGTTGAATACTGTTAGACTGTTTATTTATTTATTTGTTTTTGCTTGTAATTTATTATAATATATGCAGATGTTCTGCATAGAGAAAGTCTTGATCACCCCAGTCGATCTAAATGAATGAATCTTACCAAATAGAGCTAATTATAGTCAAATTGCAATAAAAATCGCCGCAAAACTGTCCGATTTTTTCTATATCGTGCAGCCCTAATGCTGATCATAATGTCTTATCAATACTATTTGACTTTGTTTGTTGAATTGTTGGTCTAAAGTCTCAATCTGTCACCTCAGAGTGTGCGCGGGTCTTCCATGCAGCAGGGGCCCGACTGATCCTGTGCGGACGGGACCAGAGGAGACTGCAGGAGGTTGTGGAGGAGCTGAGAAACAAAACCTATGGAAAGACACAGGTGAAAACATACAATTTCTCGCCTTTGTGCCTTATTTATTGAGGTTGACAGTAAATGCAATTATCCAGATACATTTAAAAATGCCGTTTGTGTCTATGAATGCTGCTCCTTGTTCTCCCCGTGTTGGTGTGGGTTTCCTCCGGGTGCTCCGTTTTCCCCCACAGTCAAAAGACATGCGCTATGGGTGAATTGTGTAAGCTAAATTGGCCATAGTGTATGTGTGTGTGTGAATGTGAAAGTGTATGGGTGTTTCCCAGTACTGGGGTGGCGCCTGGAAGAGCATCCACTGTGTAAAACATATACTGGAATAGTTGTCGGTTCTTTCCGCTGTGGGGACCTCTGAAATATAAGCCAAAGGAAAATGAATGAATGAATATAGAATTATGTCTGGTCTGTTAACTAAGCTCATTTGCTTGTTTTCTTTTCCAGACTTACACTCCCTGCACCGTCACCTTTGACCTGTCAAACACGTCTGTGGTCTGCAGCGCCGCCGCAGAGATTTTAAAGTGTCACGGCCACATCGATGTTCTCATCAACAATGCTGGTGTTAGTTACCGCGGCAACATCCTGGACACCCACGTTTCAGTTCAGCGTGAGGTCATGGAGACCAACTACTTCGGTCCTGTTGCTCTGACACAAGGTGAGTAAAGGAAATCTGTGAAAAGACACAGGATATAGACCACTACATGCAATATACACTCACTGGCCACTTTATTGGGTACACCTTACTAGTGCCGGGTTCCCCTTTTTGCCTTCAGAACTGCTTCAAACTTCCATGGCGTAGATTCAGCAAGGTACTGGAAATACTCCTCAGAGATTTTGGTCCATATTGACATGATAGCATCACGCAGTTGCTGCAGATTTGTTGGCTGCACAACCAAGATGCGAATCTCTCGTTCCACCACATACCAAAGGTGCTCTATTGGATTGAGCTCTGGTGACTGTGGAGGCCATTTGAGTACAGTGAACTCATTGTCATGTTCAAGAAACCAGTCTGAGATGGATTGAGCTTTATGACATGGAGCGTTATCCTGCTGGAAGTAGCCATCAAAAGATGGGTACACTGTGGTCAGAAAGGGATGGACATGGTCAGCAACAATACTCGGGTAGACTATGGCGTTGACACAATGCCCAGTTAGTACTAATGGGCCCAAAGTGTGCCAAGTAAATATCCCCCACACCATTACACCACCACCAGCCTGAACTGTTAATAAAAGGCAGAATGGATCCATGCTTTCATGCTGTTGACGTTAAATTCTGACCCTACCATCCGAATGTCGCACCAGGAATTGGGACTCATCAGATCAGGCAACGTTTCTCCAATCCTCTATTGTCCAGTTTTGGTGAGCCTGTGTGAATTGTAGCCTCAGTTTCCTGTTCTTAGCTGACAGGAGTGGCAACCAATGTTGTCTTTTGCTGCTGTTGCCCATCTGCCTCAAGGTTAAACTTGTTGTGTGTTCAGAGATGCTCTTCTACATACCTTGGTTGTAACGAGTGGTTATTTGATGTACTGTTGTCTTTTCTATCAGCTCAAACCAGTCTGGCCATTCTTCTCTGACCTCTGGCATCAACAAGGCATTTGCGCCCACAGAACTGCCATTCACTGGATAATTTCTATTTGTCGGACCATCTCTGTTAACACTAGACATGGTTGTGCGTGAAAATCCCAGTAGATTAGCAGTTTCTGACATACTCAGACCAGCCCGTCTGGCACCAACAACCATGCCACATTCAAAGTTACTTAAATCTACTTATTTCCTCATTCTGGTGCTCTGTTTGAACTGCAGCAGATCGTCTTGACCATGTCTACATGCCTAAATGCATTGAGTTGCTGCCATGTGATTGGCTGACTAGAAATTTGCATTTAGCAAATTAGACAGGTGTACCCAATAAAGTGTATATTCACAACCACTTCCGTTCAAAAAGCTTTGAAGTGACAAAGTTTCCACTCCTTTTTCCCCAAAAGACATCTTCTGTGTTTACCATTGCTGAATAATTTGATTTAGTAATTTATTTTAAACTGTATTACAAATAGAAAAATAACTTAAGAAAACATTAATTTTAAAACAATTATTTTACAGCACATGATCTTTCAGAAATAATTCTTAGTTGATTTAATATTTCATATAATATTATTTAATTCATAAATTCATTTTAACACATTTAATTACATTCTTGTTTTGTCCTGTCCAGCCATACTTCCGTCGATGGTAGACAGAGGTAGTGGCCATATTGTCGTCATTAGCAGCGTGCAGGGAAAAATCTCAATACCCTACAGATCTGCATGTGAGTATGCAGTCTACATGACGGGATTCAGTGATTCTTCTTCATGAGTAAGAGGGATTTGTTTGATTATCTGTAATATCTGTCTTTTTTGTCAGATGCTGCATCTAAGCATGCGATGCAGGCCTACTATGACTGTTTGCGGGCGGAGGTTGACAGTTTGGGCCTGCATGTGTCAGTCCTCAGCCCAGGCTATGTCAGAACTAACATGTCCATCAATGCAGTCACAGGCGACGGATCCAAATATGGAGGTGAGATACATTGTCCTTGTCAATCATACTCTGAAATGTAATTGCAGTACTTGTTCATCTTTTTCCGCACATGCCTTCTGCATTTTAACATATAGGGTTATTTTAAAAAACTTGCGGTTTGGGGAAATTCCATTCAAAAGAACTGAAGTAAATCATTTTAAACAGGGTTATGCTACAAATAAACATTTGAGGAATGTTTAGTGGATTTTTATCATATATATATATATATATATATATATATATATATATATATATATATATATATATATATATATATATATATATCGTGTTTTGTTTAGTATTTGTATTATGATATTGTTATAACAAGCATATCTATTAGAGCTGTGATGAAAATTGTTCAACAAATAGATTGAGATTTTAGCCATACTCTAAAAATATAGAACCTAAAATAATCATTATTAATGTTAGAAAAGGTGTAAGCGAAAAACAAGAGTGGTCTGTGTGAGTGAGCTGTGCTAGCATTAATTAATAAGCCAGCCTATATGATTAACTACCATTAAAAAAATTTGCCTAGAGCAACATCTGCTGTTGAACTTTAGCCTAGAGCAACATCTGCTGTTAAACTAGCCTAGAGTGCATCTGCTGTTAAAACGAGCCTGGAGCGCATCTGCTGTTGAACTTTAGCCTAGAGCACCATCTGATGTTAAAACTACGCTAGAGTGCCATCTGCTGTTAAACTTTAGCCTAGAGCACCATCTGCTGTTAAAACTAGCCTAGAGCGCCATCTGCTGTTAAACTTTAGCCTAGAGCACCATCTGCTGTTAAAACTGGCCTAGAGCGCCATCTGCTGTTAAACTTTAGCCTAGAGCACTATCTGCTGTCAAAAACTAGCCTAGAGCACCATCTGCATTTAAAACTAGGCTAGAGTGCCATCTGCTGTTAAACTTTAGCCCAGAGCACCATCTGCTGTTAAAACTAGCTTAGAGCGCCATCTGCTGTTAAACTTTAGCCTAGAGCACTATCTGCTGTCAAAAACTAGCCTAGAGCACCATCTGCATTTAAAACTAGGCTAGAGTGCCATCTGCTGTTAAACTTTAGCCTAGAGCACTATCTGCTGTCAAAAACTAGCCTAGAGCACCATCTGCATTTAAAACTAGCCTAGAGCGCCATCTGCTGTTAAAAACTAGCCTAGAGCATCATCTGCTGTTAAAAAAACTAGCCTAGAGCACCATCTGCTGTTAAATTTAGCCTAGAGCACCATCTGCTGTTAAAAACTAGCCTAGAGCACCATCTGCCATTAAAAAACTAGCATAGAGTGCCACTGTCTGCTGTTAGAAATAGACCATCAGCTGCTAAAAACTAGCCTAGAGCAGGGGTTCCCAAACTTTTCAGCCCGCGACCCCTAAAATGACAATGGCAGTAAATCACGACCCCCAATATCCTCTGAGGTGGTTATAAATATAGAAACCTTGCATGCAATGGCTCGCACACACCAACAGACTGAAGTATATTCTTTGTTTAATTTTCAGTCAGTGCTGTAAATGTGCCAGAAAGTTTAACCTGGTATAATAAAATCAATCTGCTGCATCTGACGCTACTGCTGTGTCTTTAATGTAATATATTTACCCCAGGGGTTGCAGTCCAATAAAACTAGTAACTATAAGTTACTATAGTAACTATATAGTATAACTATAATCAACTTGGCTTTAATAAAAATAAATAGATTTTTGGAAATCACCAGGAGACCCCCCATCCATTGTCCCGCAACCCCTCAGGTTGTACCAACCCCCACTTTGAGAACCACTGGCCTAGAGCACTGTCTGCTGTTAAAAACTATCCTAGAGCGTCATCTGCTGTAAAAAGCTAGACTAGAGAAATTGCTATTAAAAACTAACTTAGAGCTACTGTTTTAAAAAACTAGCCTAGAGTGCTGTCTTTTGTCAAAAGTAGCCTATCCCTGCTGAAAAAAACAGCTTAAACCAGCTTAGGCTGGTTGGCTGGTTTTAGCTGGTTGACCAGCCTGGTTTTAGAGGGGTCCAGGCTGGTTTCCAGCCATTTACAGCCTGGTCTTAGCTGGTCAGGCTAGAAAATGACCAGCTAAATCTAGCTTGACCAACCTGGTTTAAGCTGGACATAGCTGGTTTTGGTTGGACTCCCAGCCTGTCTAGGCTGGTCTAGCTGGTTTTAGCTGGTCATCTCCCAGCCTGACCAGCTAAGACCAGGCTGGAAATGACTGGAAACCAGCCTAGAAGTGGCCAAAACCCCTCTATAACCAGCCTGGTTGACCAGCTAAAACCAGCCAACCAGCATGGGCTGGTTTAAGCTAATTTTTTCAGTAGGGATAGCTCAACCTGACATTGACAAACTAGCCTATAGCACCATCTACTGCTAAAAACTAGCCTAAAGCTCCATCTCCTGTTAAAAACTAGCCTAGAGCTCTATCTGCTGTTAAAAAGCTCAATCAGTTCAAGAAACAATCGCGATCCATTTTGAAAGTCTCAGAATTTTCACTTTCTCTTTATATTCCCGACAGAACAGTAATCTTCAATACGTCTGTAAAACTGCCTCGTGACGACGTGTTTAAAGTTTTAGGGTTAGTCATGTTTTCCTTTAATAATCAATGGCTAAACTGCGAAAAATATTGACACATCACTGTACCCACTACCCTGTTTCTCACTTCACTGTTAGTTTACTTTAACAGAAGTAACTCCCATAACTCACAGGAAGAAGCTGAGTAAGTGTTAAGTGATTTGTTTTTTTGTTGTTGTTTTGAGTGTGTGTGTTTTTTTTCCCTTTTGCTCTAAAGTAATGGACAGAACCACAGCAACGGGGGCAGATCCAGTGGACGTGGCAAAGGATATTCTGAAGGCTGTCTGTCAGAAAAAGAAAGACGTGGTTATGGCTGGACTGGGGCCGACTACAGCTATATATCTGCGCACACTCTGGCCTGCTCTCTACTTCAGAGTGATGGCTTCACGAGCCAGAAAACAGACAGGGAAAGAAGAATAAAAGTCGATTTTTTTTGTCGAAAAGGTGAACAAGCACTGAATGTGTTTGATAAATAATTACAAAAGGACTGAATCCTCTTTGGTCTGTAAAGAAATAAGTCAGTAGCTGGGTTTCAATCACCATGTGGTAATTTTGAAGAGTTGCATCATAAATAAGTAATGCAAATGCCAAATTTCAAATAAAACTTCCTTAATTTGCAAAAAAATTCAAATAATAATATTAACTTATGCTTGCTTGGAATAAATGCATTTGCAGAATATACTCTGACGTACTGAAAATTACACCCATGTGACTCCATTATGTTTGCCTTGCTTACTGTTGGTTGCTAGGTTACCAATACTACAGTCAGCCACTCTAAAGCCTCTTTTTCACTGCACACGACAAAAGACAAGTGACAGACCGGAAGTCATTTATTTCCAATGGAGAGTAGTCCGGGAGCTGCGTGGAGTTCCGATCATCTCCGTATGCGGAAAATTCTGATCCGAATTGAGCTGCGGATCTGCTGAAATATTTAAACTCCTGTGAATGGACCATATGCGACCGGATGTGATGTATTCTACTGTTGTCCAAGCGGGTCTTTGCATGCGAGATGAGAAATAGGTTATATATATAATGTTTTTTTTAAACAAAAAAAATTTCTATATTAAAAAACATTTCTATTCATAAATGAGTAATAAAAAATATTATATGGTAATGTCGTCTCCACATTCCCTCCAAAAGTTTTAGCAGTCTACAAGTCTTTCTAGTATTTATTCATTCATTCATTCATTCATTCAACCACGGAGAACAGCTTCTCTCCCATAGTGTGCGACAAAACTGAAAATTCTGTCTGACTGCCACAAGGGGGCGTATTCCAACAGTCGTGTCCAAATTTTGTGTTGTGGGCTTAAAGGTAAAGTCTAGATCGGCTTTGCGGCCGGCCGGAAGTACGATATGCACATCAATATAGCAGCATTTTTTATGACACTGTATAAATTTTTTATATATTTTTACGTTACTGTGACAGTTGGGTTAAGGGTTAGGGTGGGGTAGATGTTAAAAAATAGAATTCACAGGGTAATTTATTAGATAACATAAATAATACTCAGTACAACTACTGTTTTAATGTTACTGGGATGGTTGGGTTTAGTGTTGGGGTGGCGGTTTACTTTAATAAAATACAGTTAATGGAAAATGTAATAAATAATATAAATAATTCTCGTTTACTTCTGGCCGCAACCATATCCGATCTAGCAACAACCCACTCTAGCAAATTGATGGAAGCGCACCTATTCATTTAAACCCTAACCCCATTATGTTAGCCTTGTTTACTGTTGGTTGCTAGGTTACCAATCCTACAGTCAGCCACTCCAACAAACTGATGGAAACGCACCTATTCATTTAAACCTTATTTTAAAAACCCTCATGAACCGGAAGCTGCGACCGTTATTTTTTTCATATTGTGACGCAGTTCCTAGAGAAACGGAATATTAAGTGAGAAAACAGTGGGCGTGGCTTGTTTTATTCTACTGCGAGCTGATTGGATGTAGTAAACTAGGCATTTCATTCTGACAGATCTGGAAAAGGGTTTTAGGAGAGTTGTTACAGCCTAACAGACACCTCCTCACTATTTCTGTTTGTTGTAAACACTGACAGTTCGAGCGGCGTGGTTAATAGCCAATTCCTAAGATATACATAATCTGACAATTTAACTGAATAAAAAACGAAAGATTTCAATTAAAGATCAGAAGAGCAAACTATTTTTTTTTTCTTAATGACATGCACAGATGAATTGTTCATCACAAAACTAGCAATGTGAGGGGACTTTAGCCCAGACCCCATTATGTTTACTGGTTGACTGTTGGTTGCTAGGTTACCAATACTACAGTCAGCCAGTTTAACAAATTGAGAAAAATGCACCTATCCATTTAAACCCCAACCCTGACTCCATTATGTTTGCCTTGTTTACTGTTGGTTGCTAGGTTACCAATACTACAGTCAGCCACTCTAACAAATTGACAGAAATGCATCTAATTCGCATTTGGGATTTTGTTGTTGTTGTTGTTGTTGTTTTTCTGAAACTTTCAAAATATTTGCATCACATTAGGATGAAAATCCAGCTAAAGACCAGCATCAAAGATCAGTTTGTAAGACAAGCAGCACACACTTCTTCTAATACAAAAATATGTATTGTGTTGTATGATATCCATGTATTGTATTTAGATAAAAAATAAACCATTTTGCTGACTGCATCAGATGAAATTTAATAAAGTGATTTTTATATACACTGTATTTTTAGTCTAGTCATGGCTGCATCACCATCTCGTGTGTGCATTATTTGTATAATAATTTAACAATCTACTCCTTACTTAACATTTAATGCTTTATGTTAGCTTTAATAATATTCTCACCTGACCTGTATTACTGCACTGTCTCCATGGTAACGAAAAAACTATAAAAACGATGTTGAGCATCACTGCAAAGGAGTGTATACAGATAATCTGGTTATGAGATGCTCATGACTCACTTATTTTTTGCAGCAATGCACCACACATGTGCAGCTCTCAATATAAACGCTTTGGAGGAAACACTAATTATAAATGGTGGATTCCCTGACACACACAGAGATTTCCTTTAGGAGACTCACAGTTGTGACCCTGGACTTCAGTTGCACGGGTATATTTTTTGACAATATCTGAAAATAGCTTGTTCCGTTAAGTTACTTTGTAAATTCCCAACCATAAATGGATCTAAACTATACATTTCAACTGTTTCAGCGATTGAGCATCTGTTAAGACAATGTTAGCACTTGTCATCTTTAATTGTGGGGAAAACTGGATAATTTGGAGCTTTTGTCAGCTAATTTCATCTTCTGGGTTTAAAATCATTATTGGGACGGGATCAAAATCAGTGATGTAGCGCTAAACTGCAAGTGTAGTGATGACGTGTCGGTTTCTCATTTTTATTCATAGCTGAGATTTCTTATCCTATGAGAAGACCCTGCTTCTTAACTATTCATGAGAGCACATGCTTTCCGAAGGCAAGGCAGACCTGCCAAGCTGTGAGACGGGTGCACAGCATGGGTAGTATTTGTTTGTTTCCATGATCCACAGGGTTTGTTGCATGTTTTTCCCTGCGGTGCTGTCAGAGCTGATACAGCAAAGCTGTTGGTTTGCAGCGAGCATTTTTGTCGGGAGAGCTGTGCGGGAACTGTCGAATAGCGGACTGTGTCTTTTATCAGTTGAGTTGGTTACCATTCAGACACATCCCCTATATCTGTGCTTCTGTGTTTGCACATGTTTAAAATCCTTCAGATTACCGGCAGGGTTAATGGTTGGAATAGACAGGGCAAGAGACCTGCTGCATGGCTATCCACTGTGTCTGCATTCAGACCCAGGGATTTGGAAGGAGAAGAGAAGTCCTCCTCATTAATAGTGTTGATAAAAACACGATTATCTTTATAATCATATAAGGCCTGTGCGACAAATCGAAATCAAATCGTGATTTGAAACGTGATTAGCTAATCGTAAGCGGCTGCGATATGAAGTATATTTGTATTGTTTAATTTCCCCCACCCAGAGAAAATGCGTGACTGTTGTGTATGTGTGATAGTCTTACTAGCCAATTGAGTGAGCACACCTTTTTTTTCCCCAATCAAAATTGCTCATCCGAACTTTGCCGAACGTCTACAAAAAAAACAAAAAAAAAACAAACAAACAGAAAAGCACGGACAAGTGGTATGATGACATCTGCCTCTTCAGAGGCAATAAAGGTGCAGTATGCAAGTTTGACACCCAGTGGTTGAATTAGGTATTGCACTCCTCGATCAAAACAAACAGAAGGGCAGGTTGCCAGATTGGGGACAGGGGTCCGTTCTTCGTACGTGGATTACTCAATTAGCTGGATTTGGATATTGACGATTTGACACGATCCAGGATCGTTTCGTTCTTCAAAGCTGATCCGAGAGTTGTTGTCATGGCAACAGTTCTGCTAGCTTAAACCTGATCGGGAGCAGGTTCAGTTCATATAAACAGAATTAGATCGGCTCAGTTCAAGCAAATATAATACAGTGAGTATGTACCGAATTCTGATATTTTCTTACAGTAGTAGTTATATACACTTGGGAAAAGAGTAAATATTTTTTAAACTATATATATAAAGTTATAGTTATTAATAAAATAAATAAAATTATATATATTAATAAAACTTATCAATCTGCACTCTCGAAATGAAAGTACAAAGACTGCCACCTGGTGGTGCACAGAGAAAACTTATTGATATGAACTTTTTAGATCGCTTAGTACAAATTGTGTATAATAAACATGCACAATATGTGACTTTTTTAAAGCAATAATACATTTATGCAGTCATAAACATGTTTTGATAGTTAATATGCTGGTGATTTGATGCTTCACAAAAGTTGCAGACGCCTTTACCAATATCAAAATGCTTTTGTAAACAACCACTTATTCTTTACACCGATTAAAAAACGGCTACTATAATAAAGAAAATATTTTCTAAATGTGGAACTAAATACATTGATTCGCATTGAAATACATGATGAATACTCCTGACACATGAAAGTGGAAAGCCTGCAGCTCACAACAAATGTGAAAGGTTATTGCGTGTCATATTTAACAAGCTGTTTACTGCTAATTTGATGTAGTTTTGCTCACATGGATAATTGAATATTAATCAGATGATGTCATTACGCTGCTGTGCCGTCAGCCAATCGTTGCATTGCTGATCATGATTTCGAGGATCGATAGATCTGTCCTTAACAACACACGCAGCGATCTCAGATCAGTTCATCCAGACATTCTAATCGGATTCGCGAACTCGTTTGGAGAACCAAATTAGTGAGAGATCAGTTATCAAGATTAAAAGATCCAGGATCTGCCAAATCATCTTAGATCATTTAAGCGAGGTACGAAGAACAGACCCCAGGAGTGAGTGATTTGATCTGTATTCTAAATAAAGGCAACAGCACCAGCTAGAAGGAATATTCTCCATAATAAAAGGAGTTTTTGTTCTAATAAACACCTCAAATTGATATTGTAGAAACGGCTTAAATTTCTCTCAGCTGAACAACAGAAAACTGACAATGATCACCTCAGGTACACCTCATGTGCTTTATTCAGTGTTAAATGCTAATAATGTGAGTTTGAATGGCATTTTTACATTTATTGCACTTAAAGTTGGGGTTAATATCTTTACAGTTTATTTTTTAACAAACACTCACTGCATTTTAGCAGTAAGAGGCTACGATACAAATTATTGAGCCGATGCTTGACTACAAAATTAAACCGCAAATCAAATCGAATTCGCATTTAGATATTTTCCCCAAATCGCACAGCCCTAAATGATATAACAAATTGTGGTTATGTGCATGAAATTACGAATAACATATGTAGCAGTGCATTCAATTACTTAGTTTATTTCTTTGCATTTTAACCTTGTAAACTATAAAATCATGCATCTTCTCATGTTTTTTGTTTTTCTCATTTTGTAAGACAACTGACAACAGTTGTTCGCTCCCCTATTTTTCTCCTGCTCTGGGAGCCACGCCCACTCCTCTCACTGCCCACAGAGCTCCACGCCCATCTCCCCATCAATTTTTTTTTTTAATTCTGAGGTAGACTTAAACTGAAAGAGGGGGGTTTCATCTCCCTTTTAATACAACTTTAAGAGTGCTTTTCTCAGTATTTCCATATTTTTGATTGTAGAATTTTAAATACTTTAATCTCAACCAAATACTGACCTACCCCAGCAAACCATACATCAATGGACGGTCCATTTATTCAACTTTCATGTAATACACAAAGCTCAATATCGAAAAAACTTACCCTTATGACTGGTTTTGTGGTCCCATTTTGTGGTCTCATTTGTGCATTAAAGGGTATCTATTATGCAAAAATCACTTTTATACTAGGTTTAACCCAGTTATGTGTCATATAGTCTGTGAATATGAGCAGCTTCTAATGGTAAAAATTGCATAATTAAATTTTTTTATGATCACACTTGATAAAAACAGTCTGCAGAAACACTTTGACATTCTCGCTTTGTACGTGTCATCAGAAGGGGAAAAGCCCCACCCACTAGTGACAATCTTTCTCATTTGCATAGGAGGTCAGTCTTGTTCTTGAATCTGCCACTATGCTGACACATAGGTATTTGTAGCTCCGCCCTCTTTTGAAAAAGGCAATATCTCATTTGAATTTAAAGCGACAGGCACCAAAACGGCACAATTAGGATCAAAGCCTAAAATGGGCAGTTTTAAATCATTATTGTGGGGTATTTTGAGCTGAAGCTTCAAATCCAGGGACATCAGAGACTTATTTTAAATCTTGTCAAAAGGGGCATAATGGCTTCCCTTTAAAGTTGGCCAAAACGAAACGTCTACATTTGCAAGTTGCCTCCTTGCAATATTTTATAGTTGAATAAAAACATTCGAAGTCTACTGCATAGTCCAGATGTTTAGTCTCCAAAAAAGGCTAATCCAGGAAACTCAGCAGACATTTCTGTCTCAGCACTGTGATTTAAGTGGTGCTCAAATGCCGAGTCTAAACAAAATGAAAAATAAATGCCACATTCAGTCCTTTATTTCCACCAGTTCACTACTTGCTGGTTTAAAAAAGGAGAAAAAAAATGCTAGAGAGTGCATGAAAAATGGGGTACTTCACCCAGCTCTACTCCTTCAAGTTTACCTTTCAGATGACTTACGCATTCAGTTTGAAGCTCACACTTGCTATTGAAGCTTAATAAAACCTAAGATCACCATTTAGCATTGTGCTACGCCTGAGCACTAAATAATCTTCATTCATTCATTCTCCTTCGGCTTAGAGGTCGCCACAGTGGAATGAACCGCCAACTATTCCATATATTTCATGCAGCAGATGCCCTTCTAGCACTGCAAAACACCCATATACTCTCACACAATCTCACGCCCAATTTAGTTCCTTGAGTTCACCTACAGCGCATGTCTTCGGGGTGTGAGGGAAAGGGGAGCACCTGGAGGAAACCCACGTGGACACATAGAAAACTAAATAATGTTTTTCTGAGTAAACTGATAAAGGCTTTACAACTCATTCCAGTTCCTTTACATCCTGCAAAACCTAAATGTGTGAACATGCGACAACGTATCTTCACATTCACTTTGAAAAAGCCTATTTTTTGAACTCACCTTTTGACAAGAGAAGAACTGAGAGCAGAAGTCCTGCGCAGGGCGTGGACATGAACTAGTTGTTTCTGTTAGGACTTAGAAACATCTTTGGTAAACCACTAAAAAAGCC